CTTTTATAATGTAGGATGCCTTGGAGGAGCAGTGTACACAGGGAACTTTCATCCCTTCTGGTCGTCAGGATATCTTGACCACTACTATTGGACGACCAGAACATCCAGGTCGTGTTCGAGCTGTTGGCCAAGGTGTGGGTGTCCGACATTATTTTGGACCACCATCACAGGATATCCGCACCTCCACATCCCTGAGCCAAGAAGATATTGCTGCCTTGGAGATGGCTCTCACAGAGAAATTGACACCGACCATCGGGGCAAAATTGGAGGAAGAGTTGACTCCTGCCATCAGCCGCACGACTTGAGGAGACGATCACCGCACGTGTGCGGGAGCGGCTTGCTGCGTATGTCCTCCATGGGTACTTCATTTCCTGATGCTCATCCTCCATCAGGTGCATTTTCAACCACAAATTGGATTGGTACTTGACTTGTGTTTCTAAAATCTTAGTCCTTATTGGAATTTACTGTATTTGTAGGTCCAAGAGTTAGCACAAAGGGCAGTTGTGCTGAAGCCACTATTGAGGTCACACCTGAGGTGGCATCTATTCATCCTGAATCCACAAAGGATGATCGATATGGCTTGTGGGTTGAGGTAGATGAAGGTCTAAGGCTAGTGGCCCATGGATCAGTTCATGAAGGGGCTTCAACTATCCACAATGTGCCTTTGGATCCTAACTTGGTCAAAGTAGTGGTTGAAAAGGTGGTTGACGCTGCGGCTAGTGTCCCTATCCCCACTGAAGAGGTGCAGACAGTGGGCCAAACCCTTCAGACCTTCATTAGTTGGCCTCGACATTTTGTTAGGTCAATCATGGCAAAGGTATGTATATGTATGGTTATAATACATCTAACACATAAATAAATTGATTTATTGTTTATGATTATATTTTATAAAATATGTAGGATGTTCGGCAGCCAAAAGACTTGGGTAAAGCTATTGCCACTCCTTCTGCATCTAAGGAGAAGACACCAGTTGTGGAGACTTCTCCAAATCCCATTTTTGATCTCTTGTCTCTTTCCCCACAATTATATATGCAGTCATTCCAAGTTCCATGAGATTGTACATTATTTGGGATGGCTTCTAGCAATATCCCCCTCTACATTTCCCACACTGATGCCCTGGAGATTGGGATGGGCAATCAATGTCTAAATATAGCTGTTTTACAATTTTGGACATTGTAAGTTCATATCTTTCATGACTCTTTTCATTTTAGTAAATATATAAGCTATAAGTTCACTTAAATTGGCATATTTTAGGATGATGCACGAAATGATAGTGGAGCAGGGCATTGGTCACGTGTATGGATTCTTCGAGCCTCAATCCATACAAAAGTCTCGGGAATAAGCGTGATCAAATTGTCGGTTACATCCGGAATTGGATGACTGTCTCTAAAAGAGATATTTACCTTGGAGCATACCATCATTCGTAAGTTATCCCAGCCTCTTTCTGGTTTTACACAAGTTTTTTTAATAGATTCTAATCATGTGTATATACGTAAACCACTCGCGACTATTAGTTATTTGTCCAAAGCAGAATCTTGTGTGTTGGTTCTGCTCATTGGGAAGAAAACCGGACATGGAGCTAAAAAATATTGTAAACGAGTAAGTATTTATTATATTATGTCTAAACATCTTGATTATTCTATTTCTAATCCCCTTATTTTCAATATATAGTGCTTTAAAGGTTTGTAGTACATTAGATGGAAAACACACAAGTAAAAGCATAGCTCCAAATTGGAATTTTATGAAAGTAAGTAGCCTTTATATATATTATACTATCTATTAATTTACGTTCAAATTTAATAGTTATTTTTAATATATATACTCATTTTTAGTGTAACAAACAAAATGGAGGCTACGAGTGCGGCTACTATGTAATGTATTGGATATGGCTCATCATTTTTGGTTGCATTCAGGATAGTTGGGACGAGGTAAGTTGACATTTGCTATTATATTCAATTCCTTTATTTTTATTGCTTAGGGTTTACCATTCTATTATTGTGAACTTCTTACAGGCATTTAAAGATATAGAACCTTTGCCTATGGATACAATATGGTTAGAAACAAATGGGCGTAAAGGTTTGTGCAAGTAGTTAGGAATAATAGGATTGATTGATAATTTTTGTGTATTATGTACATAATGTGGTCGGACTGAGATTGTAAGTGTATTGTGTAAATATATAGTGATTATGTGAATCTAGCTGAGATTGTGTATTGTGTATATATTATGTATTGTGTAAATCTGTCTGATCGAGATTTATATAGCGAGTCGTGTATGGTAGCACAAAAACAGACCAAAATTTAAAAAAAATGGATATTCTACGTCTGTTATTGCATTAACCGACGTTGAAATGTCTTTCGCTTGAGCGAAACGTCGGTCGCGTGAGCGAAACAGCACCCGAGCGCCCCCTTTGTTTGAAGGCTTCGTCGCTCAAGCGAGTACACCGGTCGCTTGAGCGATAAAGGACTTTCAACGTCGGTTATCCAATAAGCGACGTAGAATTTACTCATTTCTACGTCGCCTTTGCATTAACCGACGTTGTGACGCTCGGTCGCTTGAGCGAAAATTCGGTCGCTTGAGCGAAACAGACAACCGAGGGTCCCTTTGGTTTGAAGGCTTCGTCGCTCAAGCGAGTACACGGGTCGCTTGAGCGACTTCAACGTCGGTTAGTTCAATAACCGACGTAGATGTCTACCACTTTCAACGTCGGGTATGATGAACCGATGTAGAATCCTTTGACATTCAACGACGCCTGATTCAACGACGTCATTGGAACCGACGTTGAAAGCCTTCTACACCCGACGTTGAATGCTCCTTCTGCAGTAGTGATTTTAAGAAAGTTAAGTAACTAGAACTTAATATTATAGAATAAACGTTTAATGTATTTAACCATTATATATCTAATTTGCATTTGTGACTTTATTTTATTAAATTTTTTCTTTCTTCAACCTATACACGTCCTAAAAATTGAGGTGTTAGAAAATCAGTGCTCAAATTCAATTTAAATGTCAACTTAGGTGCCCAGATGAATGAAATGCCAATATGTGAAAGTGCAAAACTTCACTAATGCCGTAGTGCCATGATGGTATTATATACGTGTAAGGTTCTTCATTTTTTTTTTATTCTACCTAATCCAATCTAAAATTGGATTGGATTAATAGATTACAAGTTATTGAATTTTATTTTTCTTTAAAATTATTTAAAATAATCTTTTTAAAAATAGATTATATTATTTATTACTAAATTATGTTAGAATATAATATTTAAAAAATATATATTTAATTAATATAATGGTTAAATAATTTAAATAATAATATTATATTATTTAATAATTTTGACTCAATGTATTAAATTGACTCTCAAAATAAATATATAAAACTTATCACCTAACTTTATATCTAATAATTTCACTTCATACAAATAATAAATTGTATTGAATTATATTAATAAACTCAATAAATTATTCTTCCTCAAATCTTAATTATATATAATATTTTTTTGCCTATTTTGAAAATCATATCTACCAATTTAACGGATTTAACCAAGAATTATTCTATAATTTATTATTTTTAAATAATTAAATTTTAATTAAATTAAGACAAAATTAATATAAATAAAAAACTAACTAAATTTTTTAATTAAATCTATTTTATTATAAAAATAAAGAAATTATAATATTTTTATCTTTATTTAATTATATCAATTTTAAATAATAGTTATTTTATTATATTTGAATTTTATTTTAGTAATTATTTATTTTATATTCCCTAATATATTTTATATTTATAATTTTTATTATAACTTATATTATTATTAAAAATTTATAATATATTAATTATATTATAAAAATATTATTTTATTAAATTCTTTTAAAAACCATTCAACTTTAATTAAATTTTTAAACTCTAAAATCATATTTTCACTCTTTCATTGTCACTCAATATTTTTCATATTTTGAACACTTCAATATCTTTTTCCAATATTTGGTGTACGACAACATCTCAGTAGAGCCCACTCACACACATCAAGTTCTAATTTCTGAACACAGTCCACTCTTTGAACAACAAATAATTGCCATTATCTTTATTTTCTATACGTAATTAATATGTATTTCTTCAACACTACTATGATTCCGATTTCATCGTCATCCACTCTTCATTTTATAGTGTATTTTCTTTTGTAGTACTTTTACAGTAAAATAAATATTATAATAAATTATTTTTTTATTAGTTATCTTAAAAATAAAATTCATCATTAATTTAACTCATTCATGATATAAAATTATATAACTGATATTATATAAAAAATAAACTCCCAAAAAATGACTGATGTTGAACATTTGTTTTTCAATATTAATAATGCTTAATATATTTGAGTATAAATTTATTTCATTGAAAAAAAATGTTAGAATCTGTTATTTCTAAATATATAAGTGCAAATTTTATGTTACTAAATTTCTAATCCTTTTACGTCATCCATCAATATTCTTTTTAGTTCCAACATATACAACGTTCTTTTTGGGATGTAAACAAAAAAGTCATGCATCCACTGAACATTTTTTTAATATATATGAAAGATTGATCATTGCAACCATCTTTTTCTATTACGTGGTTCACATCCTTTTTCAACTTGATACGTTAGTCAAGTCTCAATTCCTATACCAGCTAACACTCTAATTATTCTCTTGTTGGTAAACAAACAATTGATAATAGATGTGATGAATTACAGTGGATTTCTCTAGTTTTTTTTTTTTATCTTTTTTGGGTTTGAGTGGGAATAATGTAAAATATCTTAGACAATAACCTCTTCGTACAGCTAATGGCAAGATGTATTAGTGAGTATATGTGTATGTGATGTGAGACACATCTACAATTATGGTATGTTGAATGAACACAGAATATTAAGAATCCAACGAAAGATAAAAAGTTGAAAGTAGAAGAACAAAAAGAGAATATTGGATGCAACATCCACATATAGCTAGGGTCATGTTTATAGAACTTACCGAAATGGCTAAGTTGAGTGCAGCTAGAGAAGTGGTGCTGGCAATCCTAATCCTGTAGGTCTTGTTTGGCTCAACATGAAGAATTTGAGGGGCACATTTTTCACCACCTTTAAATTGGCACTGGGGTAGGGTGGTGTTGGTAAATTTAGCTGCCAGGGAGCAATTGAATTGCCCACTTCCATTGATCAGCAGAGTCTAAAAACGAGAAAAATTAGAAAGGGTGAGAATTAGATCCTAGAATGTGTAGGTTGTTTCTCCTTTTTATGTTTCTTTTCTTTCACCCTTTTCAGTGAATAAAGAAACTACTAACTAACGCGTAATGCATTATTAGCAAGTGAACATTGCGTATGGAACAGTCTAAATTGAATAGTTATTTCTATAGTAATGTGAAACTAGATTTATGCTTTGGAGAAAGGGAAAAAGGGAAAGAAAAATAAGGCAATGTACGGTTTTGGAGGATTCAAAAGATGCCCTATTATAAAAATGCAACCCTACATTTAAACAGATGGGTCACATGTGCTTCCTTTTTTCTATAATACATTAGGAATTTGATGCGATGTTTTGATTTAGATCTTATACCTTTAAATCAAAATCACTATTTATTTTTCCCATGTCATACATGGGAGGAAAAAGCTAACATGAGTTATTTCAATTGGTTCATGGCATGTTATTTATAAAACTTTAGATGTCAAATGCCTCTTAAAAAAAGGAAAGTAATACCTACTAAAGTTTTTTTTTTTTTCAAGATTTTAATGTTTTGTTTTGATTAATTTTTTTTTAATATGGTAAATATACTATTTAAGATATTTTAGTTCCAACTGTGTAAATGGAATTTCCAAACATCCTAACTGTGTAATTTCTAAACGTGTTGACTGACAGAGTAGTTAAAATCACTAAATTGCCATATCTAGGGGATTCATTAATGCAATTGAAATATAGGAGACTAAAATGGTATCATTGTGATACTTACAGGTGAAAAAGTGTTATTAAACCTTTTTTCTTTTTTCTCGTTATTCCTAACAACAACATATATATATATATATATATATAAAAATAAAAGATTTGCAAAAGATAGAATAAAATTATCTTTCTGTTAATTTAATAAATTTAATTAATTACCTGAGGTTCATCAATCCATTTTAATGGTTTTGTGGAGAGACCAACTTCTTGTTCATGAGAGCCGGTGTGCCACAAATCACTTAGAAGAAGATTGAACTCACCATCATAATGAAACGGTTCCTTTGTCCCTTTGGCAAATCTACTATTAATGAACCATACAACCCTGCTGCTCGCATACCATGGTGACCATGGTAGAAATATGTTCCAGGCTGCACCATATAATTAACTTCCATGAACTAATCCATTATTACGTAACATCCCGCGGCTCGTATATTCTCTAATTAAACAACAAACATAAAATACAAACAAAAATCACCAAAAGAAAAATCTACTTAGGCATCTTTTTAAGACTTCTTAAAAATCAAATACTTTATTTTAATGTGAATCTCTTTATCATGAATTACTTAAAGTAAATCACAATTATTTACGATGAAATTTACATTAAAATAATATCTTTTATTTAAAAAAAATTCTTACAAAAAAGAGTGATTAGAGATTTTCTTCTAATCTAGTTAGATTAGATATATTTTTATTAATTAAAGAAAGTTGTAATTTTTAAAAAGTAATTTTTTTCTTTCATTTTTCTCTTTCTAACTTTCATTTTCTTACACAACCCAGAATGTTGGACTAAAAATTCAAAGGACAGGACTTGGGACACCAGTAAACAAATATAGATTTTTATATAAATGGACAATACAGAAACATTTGTTTCTTTCACTTAAATAATTAAAATGACTTACGTTTAATGTGTCTTCTTAGTTAACAATAAGGAGAGGAATGTAATATTACCCTGTCAACTATAAACCTGTAATGAAAGGTTTCTCCTGGATTTATAGCACACTGTGAAATGGACACTAGTGGAAAAATAGCATTCTATGACGAGTTTTTATCACGGTCGTAATCCACCCGTCATACACTAGTACAAAACAGGCTTTTAACATCGGTTCCCAGGGACTTTTAACATCGGTTCTAGAACCGATGTAGATACAGCCGATGTAGAAAGTCACACTTTCTACATCGGTTCCTAAGGAACCGATGTAGAAAGTGTGACTTTCCACTTTCTACATCGGTTCCTAAGGAACCGATGTAGAAAGTCTAATATTTTTATATATTTTATTTATTTTATTTATTTTATTTATTCATAACCCCTCTCCAATTACCCTATCTATTGATCTAGAGGTCTCCTCTCCCTTTTATATTATATTTTTATTATTTATTATATTATTTATATTTTTTAGAAATTTGATTTATTATCAGATTAAGAGAATTGTCACTGGCAAGATTCGAACCCAGTACCTTAGAGTTGGAGGCTGATACTCCAACCACTAAGCTATTAGGATTTTCTCGATAATAACTTATACATAAATTATATTTATATACAAATAAAAATGTATATCCATGTAAATATATAAATATAAAATATATAAATATAAAATATATAAATACAAATACAAATATATTTATATATTTTATATGTTGGATGTGAGGAATTAAAATATATTTTAGTGACCGATTCAATGACCGATTCATTGACCGAATTAGTGACCGAATCAGTGACCGATTCATGACCGAATCAAGTGACCAACTCGGAATCGATCACTATTTCCTTGGTCACCGATATTAGTGACCGATTCAGATGACCGATATATGAAGGGATAATATTGATATATTAATATATGAGGGATAATATTGATATATTGATATATTTGTATATATATATATATATATATTTATATATATTTATATATTGATATATTTATATATTAATATATTTATATATTTATATTTTTATATGTGCAGGGGCGTTTCGCTCGAGCGATAGGATTGTCGCTAAGCGAAACACAACCCGAGAATGCCAATTTTGTGCAGGGCGTTTCGCTCGAGCGAGAAGACTGTCGCTCAAGCGAAAGACATTTTAGATAGCGGTTACACAGGAACCGCTTTTAAAAGCTCACTTAGATAGCGGTTAACCTAGAACCGCTATGATATCGTTCAATTATGATCGATCAAAATGCAATTATGACCGATCATAATTTTGTGCAGGGGGCGTTTCGCTCGAGCGAGACGATTGTCGCTCAAGCGAAACACAACCCGAGAATGCCAATTTTGTGCAGGGGCGTTTCGCTCGAGCGATAAGACTGTCGCTCAAGCGAAAGACATTTTAGATAGCGTTACACAGAACCGCTTTTAAAACTCACTTAGATAGCGGTTAACCTGGAACCGCTATGATATCGTTCAATTATGATCGATCAGAATGCAATTATGACCGATCATATTTTGTGCAGGGGCGTTTTCGCTCGAGCGAGGGATTTTCGCTCAAGCGAAACATTTATTAATTCTATAATTTTATATAATTATTATTATTATAAATTTAATTTTCTAATAACTAATAATATTAACACATTTATTAAATTAAATTTCTTTATTTTAATTAATTATTTTAAATTTTTAAAAAATATTTTTCAAATAAATATGATAAAACTTAAAATTAATTTCTAACTAATAATATGGTTAATAGTATATTATATTATTATGTTTAATTAAATTTTAAAATAAATTTACTTAATCTTTACAATTTATATAAAAATAACTAATATAAACTTAAAATATATATCTAACTATTAAATTATCCAAAATATTAATATAAATTTAAAATATCAATTCAAGTAATTAAAATAATTTTAATTTTTTTATAAATATATTAAACTGAATTTTTCGGTACACTAATTTCGGTCACTATTAACCATTTTTCTAGTAAGTGTATAAAGATTATATGCTATATTATTATAAATAAATTATAAAGATTATATTCTATCATTAAATTACAAATTCATATAAAGAGACTCGCTCACAAATTTGACATCAAATTTTGAAAACCCACTTGACACACACTTTCACTCTCGAGCGCGCTCTCACATCCAACATATAAATATATAAATATATTTGTATTTGTATTTATATATTTTATATTTATATATTTACATGGATATACATTTATCGTAAAATCCTAGTAGCTTAGTGGTTGGAGTATCGACCTTCGACTCTAAGGTACTGGGTTCGAATCTTGCCAGTGACAGTTCTCTTAATTTTATAAAATGACTTTCTACATCGGTTCATCTGGGAACCGATGTAGAAAGTGTTTTCTACATCGGTTCATCTGGGAACCGATGTAGAAAGTCTTGAATCCACTTTCTACATCGGTTCTTAAAGAACCGATGTGGAAAGACCGATGTTAAAAGTGATTTCTGTACTAGTGATAGTATGTAGCGCGGTGACAATTTTGTAATAAAATCATAAACTTTCTATGTCGGGTAAATTTTAACCGACATAGTAAGTGGAAAGTTCACTTTCTATGTCGGTTAAATATTACCCGACATAGAAAGTTTACTTTCTACGTCGGGTAAGATTTACCCGACATAGAAAGTTAACTTTCTATGTCGGGTAACATTTAACCGACATAGAAAGTGAACTTTCTATGTCGGTTAAAATTTACCCGACATAGAAAGTGTCTTTGATGACGGGTGTTAGGGCAACCGACATAGTATCTTCTGTTTTACCACTTCACCCATAACAGAGCTCCCCGTTCGCTTGTGTACGTTTCTCCCTACGCTCCATTTCATTTCATCAGTTCACCCATAGCAGAACTCCCCGTTCGCCTGTGTATGTTTCTCCGCACCCACATTTGCTCGTCACGCCACCTGCCAACGCTATACATCGTGCCGCCTGCTGCTACTATCGTTGGTGCCCGTCGCCTGTGCTACGTTTCTCCCCACCTGGCTCTGCACATCACGCCACCTGCCACCTCTGTAGGTCTTCAAGAGGTAAGTTTTCGTGCTTGCTTTAGCCATTGTAGGTTTACACTATTGAATCTGGTAAGTAATAATGCTGTCAAGAGAGGGAAACATCACGGGTGCCTTTAGCTAATTTAGAGATGTATTGTAAGTAGTTTAGTCATTTGAATGTGTTTCTGTAGGCATTCTTTCGTGATTTTGATTTTGAAAATTAGATTTGTATTATAATGTAGTTATTTTGAGAGTGGAGTTGGATTTCGTGTAGGCATTATAATGTAGTTATTTCGTGTTTCTGTAGCTAATTTGATTTTGAAAATTAGATTTGTAACAATGGATCGGAGTTGGATCAATTATAGACGAACAACAAATGAATATGAGAGTGGAGTAGAACAATTCCTTGAATTTGCTAAGATGAATGTTCCGGATAATGATGGAAGATTCTATTGCCCTTGTGTTAACCGCTTGAATGAGCGAAGATTACCGATCGAAGTTATTCGGGAACATGTTCTTTGTGATGGTTTCCTAAAGAGTTACATAAAGTGGACATGGCATGGTGAATTATTAAACATGCCAAGTGTAGAAGACAAAGAAGAAGTTGATCTAGAGATGGATGATCGACTGGAGGAAATGATTCGTGAGCTTGGACAAGATGCCTTCCAACATACACATGTGTACGAGAAGTTGTCCAATGATGCAAAAGAGCCTTTGTATACAAATTGTACTAAGTTCACACGATTGCTCACGGTACTAAAATTGTTCAATGTGAAGGCAAAGAATGGGTGGACTGATAAAAGTTTCACAGAATTGCTTGAGTTATTGAGTGACATGCTCCCTGAAGGTAACACATTGCCAATCCACAATTATGATGCTAAGAAGATATTGTGTCCAATGGGTATGGAGTACCACAAAATTCATGCATGTACGAATGATTGTGTGTTGTACAGGAAAGAATTTGAGAACTGTCACGAATGTCCACAATGCGGGGAATCACGATACAAGAAGAAGGATGGTGATTCTGACAATGATGTAATGAAGGGTACCCCGTCAAAAGTGTTATGGTATCTTCCCATTGTTCCAAGGTTGAAACGATTATTCACTAATGGAAATGATGCAAAGCTCACTAGATGGCATGCGGATAGTCGTATTAAAGATGGTCGGATTGAGGCATCCGGCAGATGGATTGCAATGGAAAAAATTGATTCCATCTTCCGAATTTTGGTAATGATCCAAGAAACATTAGGTTTGGACTTGCTACGGATGGAATGAATCCATATGGAAATTTAAGCAAGTAAACATAGTTCATGGCCTCGTGGTGTTAGTTATTTACTACTTACCTCCGTGGTTGTGTATGAAACGTAAGTACTTGATGCTTTCTTTGATGATCTCGGGTCCCAGACAACCTGGAAATGACATTGATG